CAGGAAAGATGCACACATGCACAAAGAATCTACAGTGGGTATTTCAGAAGGAATGAGAAGATGGTTTGTAGGGCTCTCATTGGCTGGTGTGGACAGATTTGAAAATAAAAAAGTGGTATACAAAAAACTGCCTATAATTGACTGTACAACACTGAATATATAATTGATTTATTTAGTAACAGATAGAGATAGGGGAGAGAGGTTATTAAGGGAAAAAAAAACAAAACAAAACAGCTTTTGTTCTCATTGGCAGTAGTTACAAGAACTTTTTTTTTAAAAAATGCCAGGAGCCAGAAAATCCATCCAGTTCACCCATATTGGTGGCAGGGACCTAAGCATTTGAGTCATCATGTGCTGCCCCCCAGGATGTAATTGGCAGGAAGCTGAACTGGAAGTGGAGTGGTGGAATCTCAACCCAGACACTCGGGTATGAAACTCTGGTGTCCCAAGCAGCAGCTTAACCTGCTGCACTGCAATCTGTGTCCTCCAGGAACTCTTTCTGAGAAGAAGAATAGGGAGATGGGGCATAGTAGTACTAGGAGAAAGAATATTTTTAAAGAGAATTAAATATTTATCTAACTTAGAAATAGAAATTCATCTTTAGTTGCTGTATTAGACTGCTTAGGCTGCTACAACCAAATATCTAGTCTGTGTAATAAATCACATTCATTTATTTTCTTATGGCATGGAGGCTGGAAATCTAAGATCAGGGTGACTAAGTGATTTGTTTCTGGTGAAGGTGTCTGATGAGGTATAGCAAACTTCTTTGTGTTTACACACCTTATCTCTTCTTTGTTCAGGGAGAAAAAGAGAGAGAGAGAGAGAGAGAGAGAGAGAAACCCCAAGTTCTCTGGTGACTCTTCTTATAAGGGCACTGATCCCATCAATGAAGCCCTCCACTCTCATGAACTCATGTAACCCCAATTACCTTCTGAACACTCCATTTCCAAATATTCACATTGGGTATTAGGATTTCAACATGTGAACTTTGGCAAGCAGCTCAAATATTCAGACCATGAGAGTTGCTAAAGGAGATGAAATTGTAGCTAAATAATAGAATTACAAAATCACCTTGTAGAAAACTCCAAAGGAATAATTGATTCAGGCAGGACTCATCAATGGATGACAAAATGATTAGAAGTATGATTGTGGAAAGCAAGAAATCTGCAAGATGTCAAGGTAGCACATCACCAATTATTTATTAGTTGCAAGCAAAAATGATACTTTTAGGATGAAGAGAACTGGTGATTTTCTCTTAACAAAAATCAGACAGTATTGCAATTAATTATCAATCCTATACATGTATCCTGATCTGATGCAGTTTGTTGTTTCCATCACTTGTAAATATCTCCCTCAAATAATGCTCAACATTGATTTAATCAAGCCTCTAGACTAAATTCAATTTTAAGAAAATACAGATGATTTGTAGTAAAGTTAGCAATATTATGAGGAAACAGATAACTAAAATGTGGAACTCTATATTTAACTGACCTGTTGTCTTGATAAATGAAAATGATTGTGTCGTGGGTTAAAAAGGAAAATAAATCACATTTTGGGAATAACTGGTGAAATTTTAATATGGACAAATTATTAGATCAGTCAGAAATTCTAGAATTCTTTAAGTATGACACTGCTATTGCAACAATATGTGGAACATTGCTCTTAATTTACAAAATCACACTCAAATATTCAAGTGGTGAATTGTCAATTTCTGTAATTTCTTTCAGATGACTCAATCTATAAACATATGTGCACACAAAAGTAAAGCAAATATGGTAGAATGTTAGTATTTATTACTGATCAATTATTTTTTACTTTTTCAAGATTTCTCAATATTTAGGAAAAATGGTGATACATAGTAAATGAAACATTATAAAAAAGAAGCAAATGTTGAAATCAAATGTTGACGAGGACAGACATGCAATTGTAATATGTTATATGATTCAGCAGTAATGAAAAATATTGGTTTGAAATTATAACCTGACTCTATGAGAAAGATGAAGTATGAGAAACAGAGAATTTTAACTGCTCATCAAAGTAATTTATTTCTACACAAGAGGTGTTCAATGATATGTAATGTTAATAAATCAAGAAGTAGAAATGTTCGCACATTACTTGATATAGAAAAGTAAAAAAAAAATCAAAGAAGAAGCATAATCAGGTGAAAAAGAGTCGCTAATGTGGAGTCAGACTAGGATGTGGGGTATGTGAAGCATGAGGTGTTTTTTCATGATATCCTTTAATATTATTAATTTAAAATTATGTGTATTTATTAATTTCATAAAAATTAAAATTATTATTTTTTTATTTGACAGGTAGAGTTATAGACTGAGAGAGAGAGAGACAGAAAGGTCTTCCTTCTGTTGGTTCACTCCCAAATGGCCGCTACGGCCGGTGCTGCGCAGATCCGAAGCCAGGAGCCAGGTGCTTCTTCCTGGTCTCCCATGTGGGTGCAGGGGCCCAAGCACTTGGGCCATCCTCCACTGCCCTCCCAGGCCACAGCAGAGAGCTGGACTGGAAAAGGAGCAACTGGAATCAGAACCTGGCGCCCAAATGGGATGCCGGTGCCATAGGCAGACGATTAGCCAAGTGAGCCATGGCGCTGGCCCCCAAAAAATTAAAATATTTTTAAAAATTATGACTCTATAACATTCTGCCTTCTAGATTTTCTTTGTTTTTATTAATATATACTGAACAGATTTCATCAATTTCATAGATACAATTCTAAGAATATAAGGATACTTTTCTCCCCTTCCTCCCTCCCTTCCCCCATCCTCCTTCTTTTCTTTTAATTTCTTCACAATAACATAATTTCAATTTTCTTTGTAATCACAGACTCAATACTCTTTTAAAGAAAAGGCTGTACAAGTAAAAGTTAGACTCTATAGCTTAAAAAATGTGTGTACTGAGAAAAATAATTTCAATTCCCCTAGTTTACTCATGTTTAGCATAAATGCTTACCAAAATCAATAATAATTTAATAGTTAAATTTATTATGAACCTGTGATATATTTATAATATTTGTTCCACTTACATTTAATATAATTCTTAATATAATGAATGTAACATAATATGATATTGATATCAATAATATATCTATCCTTGATTATAAGCCATAGGATAAATACAAATCCTTGGCAATACATCTAGTACATAATACATATTTTTCTGCCTAATTCTTTTGATGTAAAGGATTTCAAGGAATCCTGGTAAGAAGATCTGAGAGTGCAAATGGTTAAGAATTTTTCATAACGTCTTTTCATCTCCATCTCATAGTTGCCACGTTTTCTCGTAACAGGGAAACTTAACTCAAATGAGTGGCTACAGCCCATAAAAGTAATAATTTGTCGCCGGTGCCACAGCTCACTTGGCTAATCTTCCACCTGCGGCACCAGTACTCCGGGTTCTAGTCCCGGTTGGGGTGCCGGATTCTGTCCCAGTTGTTCCTCTTCCAGTCCAGCTCTCTGCTGTGGCCCAGGAGGGCAGTGGAGGATGGCCCAAGTGCTTGGGCCCTACACCCGCATGGGAGACCAGGAGGAAGCACCTGGCTCCTGGCTTCAGATCGGCACAGCCCGCGTGCCAGCCGTAGTGGCAATTTTGGGGGTGAACCAATGGAAGGAAGACCTTTCTTTCTGTCTCTCTCTCTCACTGTCTAACTTTGCCTGTCAAAAAAAAAAAAAAAGTAATAATTTGTCTTATTTGATTTAGATGAGAAACAATATTTTTCCTTATATGTCCAACTTTTGTTAATTTAGCTAGCTATCTTTCTAAATAAGAAAGTACAATTGAATCTTGATTTTTATTTTTAGGAGTCATTTTTGCAAATGATCCTCTTTAGGTTTTTTGCAAGGGAGATAGGATCAATGATCAATATTTACCTCTCTGTTGTGTACCACATAGTTGAGTTTACTTTACTATAATATGTAGGAGGGAATAGACATATTTTGACAATTGTGCAAGAGAAGGATGTGTGAAATTGTGGAATGGCTCTCTCAGTATGCAATATAACTCTCTCCTAAATAACTGGGGCACTAAAGACAAACATTTGCCAGATTCCTTGTGAATTTCTTTCAGAATTTTAGATATGATTTGGGTTCTCCCAATAAGATTGAGATTGATATTTGGAACACAGCAACTTGGGCAGAGGGCAGGGTATGAGAAATAATTTCGTGGGCCTGGCCTATGAGCCAGTGGGATCAATGGTGACTTCATGATTTGGTAATGGTTTTCCAATTTGGTGGTTCTCTTAAAGTTTGTTAGCTGTTTCTTCAACTTCCTACTCCTGCAGCCTTTGAACATGACAGAGATAGAAATAAACTTGGGAGCTGCTCCTGGAATACTCAATTTCTAGTCTATTTTTAGCTACTCCCTTATCCCTCAGCGCTTACAAGTTTGTAAGTTCATTTAGTACTTGGTAGTAAACTTCTTTCTGCCTAAATCAACTTCATTGGACCTGCAACTATAAACATGAAAAAAAAAAGTATTACAAAGGGCATGACAGTAGCTCTGATGGTAGAAGTGTGCAATGGATATTATTTAGTTCTTTTAAATTAAATGCAAAATGTTATATTTGTTATGCAATAGCACTACAAGGATGCAATATATATTGCCATTACCAGAATAAGCACCCATCACAACATTCATAGCTCACAGGAAATGAATGGCCAGAAAAACAAGAAAATTTTAAAATAAAATATCTCATCACAGAAAAATTTATTCACAACAATGAAAAATGGAACCAAAGTAAATTCAAGTGTCTCATCTGTTACCTAGGCAGGAAAAAACTATTTACCGATGCTGAGATCATGAAATCATGTAAATTACAACAGCCACAGAAACATATCCAGAAAAAATAAACATAAGTAATTTTCATTTTGTTGAACTCAGTCACTGAAAGTGTTTAAGACATTTAGGGCAACATCAATAGTCAAAAACAAGACAAAAATAATGGAGTGTTTTTACGTTATTTTTAAAATTTTTTATTTTTTTTGTTCTTGAAGAGTTGAACAGATGTCTCTAAAACTATTCATTTGTTTGAGAAATGCCAAGTTTGAGGTGACTGGAGAATTGATTGCTATGAATCATCTGTATGGGGCATTTACAAGCAAGTCTATTTCTAAAGAACTCAAGAAAGCAGTAATTCAGTAAAGCATGAAGAGGAATCTGCTAAGATGTTTTACAATGGATGGTAATAGAAATATGCGTAAAGCAGGAAAAGGCAGAGTTGAAAAATTTAAAAAAGTTTCTCATAAAAAAATAAGGTGCTGAAATCCTGAATATTCACTGTATTATTCATCAGCAGATATTTTGCAAGAAATATTTAGATGTATTTTGTGTCAGATTATTTTGACAGTGAATTTCAATGACTTTGTACTTGTGTGAGCTAAACTATTGTTCTTTTAGTGATTTTTCTTGAAATAAATGTATAATATACTGATTTGCACTATCACACAGCAATTGTTTGAGCTCAGGATTGAGAGTGAGCTTCCCTTCACTGATTCACTCCCCACCTGCCTGCAACAACCAGAGTTGTGCCAGGTTGAAACCAAGAGCCTAGGATTCAGTGTGGTTCCCCTATATGAATAGCAGAGCTTAAATTACTTGAGCCAACACTTGTTGCCTCCCAGAGAGTACATTGGCAGGAAGTTGAATGGGAAGCACAGGTGCTAGGACTTGAACAAAGATCTAGTGTGGGGAGCAACTGAGGCAACTCGGACTAGACTAAGTTACTGGAATTAAGACTTATTCTATGCATCTGCTCTCCCACAATATGGCGCTGGGAGAGGAGGAAACAGCTTCTACACAGCTGCCTCCAGTTCAACCAATAAACAGCAGGACCTGCTCCTGATTGGAGGAGAGCAGCATACTCAGCATGTGGGTAGCAGAGTTGGGATTGGTGGAAGAGGACTATAAAGGAGGAGAGAGACAACATGCACCAGGAACATCTATCTGAAGGAACACCTGTGCAGCCCCCAAGAGAGCCGGCTGGCGGTGTGCCGCTCCCCCGCGGAAGTGGGGAAAGTGGCTAGGGGGAACCGCCCTTCCACGGAGGTGGAAGGGACGGTAGCCAACCCGGGAAGAACCAGCAGCAAACCCGGGGAGGGCCGAGCAGACAAAAGAACAGCGCAGGGTCCTGTGTTGTTCCTCCACGAAGAGGGGGAGCGACATAATGGTGCCGTGACTCGGATATGAAGCCTAGGCAGGGTTTAGTGTCGTTCCTCCATGAAGAGGGGGAGCGACAATCTAGGATATGGGATGCAGTCATCCAAAGCAGTATCTTAAACACTGTGTCAAATGCCTGTGCCTCATTTAAATCTTTTAAATATTTTTGAAATTAAATATTTTTTAAAGATTTATTTATTTGAAAGATGAGAGAGAGGAGAAGAGAGAGAGAGAGAGAAAGAGAGAGAGAGAGAGAGAGAGAGAGAGAGAGAGAGAGAGAGAGAGAGAGAATGTCTCCATCTACTGATTCACTCTACAAATGACTGCAACAGCCATAGCTGGACGAGGTTGAAGCAAGTAATTCTGAGTATTCCACATGAGTGGCAGGGGCCCAAGTACTTACTTGTGCCATCATCCAGTGTCTTCCCAGGTGCAGAGTAGGAAGGTGGATCAAAACTGTTCCAGCTAGGATTCAAATTGTCACTCTGATATGTGTTGCCAGCATTGCAAGTAGTGACTTTAACCCACTTCACGCCAATGCCAGCTCCCCAATCAGTAAGTTGATGTATTTTGAGCTATTATAAAAACTTATCAACTTTGATTTTAAGATCTTTTTTTCTTGGTATTTAAATCTTTGAATTGTTGATACTTATTTTATGAAAGGAACAAAATAGAAGATCAATGCAGTTTTTCTATAGATGGCACATGAATAAATAGGAAGAAACAGCACATAAATAGGAAAGAAGATACAAAGTTTACAGAAGAGAAGTAGCCACCCCGGACAGGAGGAGATGTAGTGCTGCTTCTTGAAGGGTCCTTTAGCTTACAGAATTTTTTTTTAACATTTATTTAATAAATATTAATTTCCAAAGTACAGCTACAGGATTACAGTGGCTTCCCCCCCCCATAACCTCCCTCCCACCCGCAACCATCCTATCTCCTGCTCCCTCTCCCACCCCATTCACATAAAGATTCATTTTCAATTATCTTTATATACAGAAGATCAATTTAGTGTATGCTAAGTAAAGATTTCAACAGTTCGCACCCACACAGAAACACAAAGCGTAAAGTACTGTTTGAGTACTAATTATACCATTAATTCACATAGTACAACACATTAAGGACAGAGATCCTACATGGGGAGTAAGTGCACAGTGACTCCTGTTGTTGATTTAACCATTGACACTCTTGTTTATGGCCTCAGTAGTCACCCGAGGCTCTTGTCATGAGTTGCCAAGGCTATGGAAGCCTTTTGAGTTCACCAACTCCGATTATTTAGACAAGGCCATAGTCAGAGTGGAAGTTCTCTCCTCCCTTCAGAGAAAGGAACCTCCTTCCTTGATGGTCCATTCTTTTCACTGGGATCTCACTCACAGAGATCTTTCATTTAGGTTTTTTTTTTTTTTTTTTTTTTTTTTGCCAGAGTGTCTTGACTTTCCATGCCTGAAATACTCTCATGGGATTTTTAGCCAGATCTGAATGCCTTAAGGGCAGATTCTGAGGCCAGAGTGCTGTTTAGGACATCCACCATTCTATGAGTCTGCTGTGTATCCTGCTTCCCATGTTGGATGGTTCTCTCCTTTTTTATTCTATCAGCTAGTATTAGCAGACACTAGTCTTGTTTGTGTGATCCCTTTGACTCTTAGACCTGTCAGTATGATCAGTTGTGAACTGAAACTGATCACTTTGACTAGTGAGATGGCATTGGTACATGCCACCTTGATGGGATTGAATTGGAATCCCCTGGCATGTTTCTAAGTCTACCATGATGGGAAATTCCGATTGAGCATGTGCCGAACTGTACATCTACTCCCTCTCTTATTCCCACTCTTGTATTTAGCAGAGATCACTTTTCAGTTAGATTTAAACACCTAAAAACAATTGTGTGTTAATTAAAGAGTTTAACCAATAGTATTAAGTAGCACAAAAAATACTAAAAGGAATAAAGTAGTAAATTGTTCTTCAACAGTCAGGACAATGGCTGATCAAGTCACCATTTCTCATAGTCTCCATTTCACTTCAAGTGGTTTCCTTTTAGGTGCTTGGTTAGTTGTCACTGATCAGGGAGAACATATGATATTTGTCCCTTTGGGACTGGCTTAATTCATTCAGCATGATGTTTTCCAGATTGCTCCATTTGGTTGCAAATGACAGAATTTCATTGATTTTTACTGCTGTATAGTATTCTATTGAGTACATATCACATAATTTCTTTAGCCAATCCACACTTGAGGGTATTTACGTTGATTCCAGCTATTGTGAATTGAGCTGCAACAAACATTGCGGTGCCGACAGCTTTTTTATTTGCCAATTTAATTTCCTTTGGGTAAATAACAAGAAGTGTGATGGCTGGGTTTTATGGGAGGGATATATTCAAATTTCTGAGGAATCTCCAGACTGACTTCCATAGTGGCTTTACCAGTTTGTATTCTCACCAGCAGTGGGTTAGTGTCCCTTTTCCCCCATATCCTCTCCAGCATCTGTTGTTGGTAGATTTCCATATGTGAGCCATTCTCACCGGGGTGAGGTGAAACTTCATTTTGGTTTTGATTTGCATTTTCCTGATTGTTAGAGATTCGGAACATTTTTTCATGTGTCTGTTGCCCATTTGGATTTCCTCTTTTGAAAAATGTCTATTGAGGTCCTTGGCCCATCTCTTACGTGGTTTGTTTGTTTTGATATTGTGGAGTTTCTTGATTTCTTTGTAGATTCTGGTTATTAACCCTTTATCTGTTGCATAGTTGCAAATATTTTTTTCCATTATGTTAGTTGCCTCTTCACTTTCCTGATTGTTTCTTTTGCAGTACAGAAACTTCTCAATTTGCTGCAATCCCAAAAGTTAATTTTGGCTTTGACTGCCTGCGCCTCCAGAATCTTTTCCAAGAAGTCTTTGCCTATGCCTATCTTGCAGGGTTTCTCCAATGTTCTCTAATAATTTGATGGTGTCGGGTTGTAGATTTAGGTCTTTAATCCATGTTGAGTGCATTTTTGTGTAAGGTGTAAGGTAGGGGTCTTCTTAATGCTTCGGCACGTGGAAATCCAGTTTTTCCAGCACCATTTTTTTAATGGACTGTCCTTGCTCCAGGAATTAGTTTTAGATCCTTGATAAAATATAAATTGGTTATAGATGTTTGGATTGATTTCTGGTGTTTCTACTCTCTTCCGTTGGTCTATCCATTTGTTTCTGTCCCAGTACCTGCTGTTTTTATTATAACTGCCCTGAAATATGTCCTGAAATCTGGTGTTGTGATGCCTCTGGCTTTGCTTCTATTGTACAGGATTGCTTTATCAATTTGAGGTCTCCTGTGTCTCCATATGAATTTCAGCATCATTTTTTCCTGATCCGAGAAGAATGTTTTTGTGTTTTATTTGGTATTGCATTGAATCTATAAATTACTTTTTGTAGAATGGACATTTTGGTGATATTGAATCTTAAAATCCATGAGCATGGAAGATTTTTTCCATTTTTTGGTATCCTCTTCCACTTCTTTCTTTTAGATTTTGTAATTCTCATCATAGAGATCTTGAACGTCCTTGGTTAAGTTTATTCCAAGGTATTTGATTGTTTTTGTAGGTATTGTGAATGGGATTGATCTTAGCAGTTCTTTCTCAGCCATGCCATTGCTTGTGTATACAAAGGCTGTTGATTTTTGTGCATTGATTTTGTATCCTGCTACTTTTCCAAACTCTTCTATGAGTTCCAATAGTCTCTTAGTAGAGTTCTTTGGATCCTCTAAATAAAGAATCATATCATCTGCAGAGGGATAGTTTGACTTCTTCCTTCCCAATTTGTATCCCTTTAATTGCTTTTTCTTGCCTAATAACTCTGGCTAGAACTTCCAGAACTATAGTGCATAGCAGTGGTGAGAGTGGGCATCCCTGTCTGGTACCAGATCTCAGTGGAAATGCTTCCAACTTTTCCCCATTGAATAGGATGCTGGCCATGGTTTTTTTTCATAAATTGCTTTGATTGTATTGAGGAATGTTCCTTCTATACCCATTTTGCTTAGAGTTTTCATCATGAAAGGGTGTTGAATTTTATCGAATGCTTTCTCTGCATCTATTGAGATAATCATATAGTTTTTCTTCTGCAGTCTGTTAATGTGGTGTATCACATTGATTGATTTGCGAATGTTGAACCATCTCTGCATCCCAGGGATAAATCCCACTAGGGGTCTGGGTGGATGATCTTTCTGATGTGTTGTTGTATTGTATTGGCCAGAATTTTATTGAGGATTTTTTCGTCTATGTTCATCAGGGATATTGGTCTGTAATTCACTTTCAGTGCTGCATCTTTCTCTGGCTTAGGGTTTAAGGTGATGCTGGTGTCATAGAAAGAATTTGAGAGGATTCCATCTTTTTCGATTGTTCTGAATAGTTTGAGAGTTAATGGAATTATTTCTTCCTTAAATGTCTGGTAGAATTCAGCAGTGAATCCATCTGGTCCTGGGCTTTTCTTTGTTGGGAGGGCCTTTATTACTGTTTCAATTTCTGTCTCAGTTATGGGTCTGTTTAGGTTTTCTATGTCTTCCTGGTTCAATTTAGGTAGATTGCATGTGTCCAGGAATCTATCCATTTCTGATAGATTTTCCTGTTTGCTGACCTACAATTCTTCGTGATAATTTCTTATGATTCTTTTTTATTTCTGTGGTGTATGTTGTTACGTCTCCTTTTTCATCTCTGATTTTATTGATTTGGGTCATTTCTCTTCTTTTTTTAGTTAGTTGGGCCAATGTGGTATCTATTTTCTTTATTTTTTCAAATTCGGGACATGCTCAAGCTGACTTACCTCTAACGGTAGAGTTAGAAACATACCAGGGGATTCCAATTCAATCCCATCAAGGTGGCATGTACCAATGCCATCTCACTAGTCCAAGTGATCAATTTCTGTTCACAATTGATCATAATGATAGGACTAAGAGTCAAAGGGATCACATAAACAAGACTAGTGTCTGCAAATACTAGCTGATAGAATAAAAAACGGAGAGAATGATCCAACATGGGATGTGAGATACACAGCAGAACCATAGAATGGCAGATGCCCAAACAGCATTCTGGCCTCAGAATCAGCCCTTAAGGCATGCGGATCTGGCTGAAAAGCCCATGAGAGTATTTCAGGCATGGAAAGCCAAGACACTCTGGGGAAAAATAAAATACCTAAATGAAAGATCTCTGTGAGTGAGATTCCAGTGGAAAGAACAGGTCATCAAAGAAGGAGGTACCTTTCTCTGAAGGGAGGTGAGAACTTCCACTTTGACCATGGCCTTATCTATATATGATCAGAGTCAGTGAACTCAGGGGGCTTCCATAGCCTTGGCAGCTCATGACAAGAGCCTAGGGTGATTACTGATGCCATAAACAAGAGTGTCAATTTGTTAAGTCAACAACAGGAGTCATTGTGCACTTACTCCTCATGTAGGATCTTTGTCCTTAGTGTGCTGTACATTGAGATTTAATGCTATAACTAGTACTCAAACAGTATTGTTCACTTTATGTTTCTGTGTGGGAGCAAACTGTTGAAATCTTTACTTAATGTATGCTAAACTGATCTTCTGTATATAAAGAGAATCAAAAATGAATCTTGAAGTGAATGGAAGGGGAGAGGGAGTGGGAAAGGGGAGGGTTGCGGGTAGGAGGGACGTTATGGGGGGGAAGCCATTGTAATCCATAAGCTGTACTTTGGAAATTTATATTCATTAAATAAAAGTTTAAAAAAAAAAAAAACCAGCTCTTCGCATCGCTGATTTTTTGCAATGTTTTTTTGGATTCCTGTTGATTTCTTCTCTGATTTTAATTATTTCTCTTCTCCTACTAGATTTGGGTCTGGTTTGCTGCAGTTTTTCTAGATCCTTGAGATGTGTTGAAAGCTCCTTTATTTGATACCTTTCCAATTTCTTGATATAGGCACCTATTGCTATAAACTTTCCTCTCAATACTGCTTTTGCCGTATCCATACGTTTTGATATGTTGTGTTGTTATCCTCATTTCCTTCCAGAAAGTTTTTGATTTCTTCTATGACCCAGTGTTCATTCAGGAGCATGTTGTTCAGCCTCCATCCTTAACATATCTTTTAAATAACCCAGTGCCTTGTAATTAGGTGCGTATACATTTATAATAGTTACATGTTCCTGTTGAATTGATTGCTTAATTATTATGTAGTGCCCCTCTTTGTCTCTCTTAATGTTTTTGTGTTAAAGTTTATTTGTCTGATATTAAGATGGGTCTGTCAGCTCCTTTTTGGTTTCCATTGGCCTGGAATATCTTTTTCCAGCCTCTCACTTTCAGTCTGCATGTATCTTTGTTGATAAAATGTATTTCTTGTAAGCAGCAAATAGATGGGTTTCGTTTTTTAATCCATTCATCCAGTCTATGTCTTTTAACTAGAGTTGAGTCCATTAACGTTCAATGTGACTATTTATAAGTATTGACTTTGCCCTGCCATTTTCCCAAAGATATTTCTAATATATGCTTTCAACTTCCTGTGATCTTTTACTGAGATATTTTATTCCTTTACTTTCTTTCATATTGATGGCTATGTTTCTGTATTTCTTTGTGCAACACATCTTTAAACATTTTTGCAGGGCTGGACAAGTGGTAACAAATTCTTTCAATTTGTGTTTGCTATGAAAGGTCATTATTTCACCTTCATTCATAAATGAGAGCTTTTCAGGATATAATATTCTGGGCTGGCAGTTTTTTTCTCTTAGTACTGGGGCTATATCTCGCCATTCCCTCCTAGCCTGTAGGGTTTCTGATGAAAAGTCTGCTGTGAGTCTTATTAGAGATCCTCTGAGAATAATCTTACATTTCTCTCTTGCACATTTTAGAATCTTTCCTTTATGCTTCACTGTGGTGAGTTTGATTACAATGTGTCATCATGGGGACCTTTTTTGGTCATGTTTATTGGTAGTTCTATGTGCTTCCTGTACTTGGATATCTCTGTCCTCCTCCAAACCGGAGAAGTTTTCTGCTAGTATCTCCCTAAAAAGGCCTTCTAATCCTTTGTCTCTCTCCATGTCTTTGTGAACTCCTAGAACCTGAATGTTGGGTTTTTTACTAGTATCCTGTAGATTCCCAACAATATTTTTTAGATTTCTAATTTCCTCTTCCTTTTTTTTTTTTTTTTTTTGACAGGCAGAGTGGGCAGTGAGAGAGAGAGAGACAGAGAGAAAGGTCTTCCTTTTCCATTGGTTCACCTCCCAGTGGCCACTGTGGCTGGCGTGCCGCACTGATCCTAAGCCAGGAGCCAGGTGCTTCTCCTGGTCTCCCATGCGGGTGTAGGGCCCAAGAACTTGGGCCATCCTCCACTGCACTCCCGGGCCATAGCAGAGAGCAGGACTGGAAGAGGAGTGACTGGGGCAGAATCTGACGCCCCGACTGGAACTAGAACCTGGAGTACTGGTTCCGCAATTGGAGGATTGAATTTCCTCTTCTTTTCTTTGGTTTGACTGTATACTTTCCTGGGCTCTGTCTTCTAAGTCCAATATTCTCTCTTCTATCTCACTGATTTTGTTTTTAAGGCTCTCAATTGCATTTGTCATTTGTTCTATTGAATTCTTCATTTCATTTTGATTTCCCTTCAATATCACAATTTCATGTTCTACTAAATTCCTCATTTCATTTTGATTCCTCCTTAAGATTTCATTTTCATGATAGAGATTTTCTGTCCTGTCCAGTATGGATTTCTATAGTTCATGAATTTGTTTTTGATAACTTCTAAATGTTCTTATCACAAATTTTTGAAATCCATATCTTGCATTTCTTCTATCTCATCATCTTCGTAATCTTATATTGGAGCGTCATGTTCATTTGGGACTGACATAATGTCTTCCTTATTCTTGTTTCCTAGGTTTCTGCATTTGTCGTTTGGCATTGTGGAGATATTATTTGGTTTCTTCTTCCTTTTTTTTCCCTTATTGCAGTGGCTTTTCTTGTACTATGACTCTAGATTAAGTTGGCTGTCTTCTTTTATTGAATCTTTAGAGGCTTGTAGTGGGTGTGGCCAGAGAGCTCTCTTTAGTTCTTTTTCTTTTTGACAGGCAGAGTGGACAGTGAGAGACAGACAGACAGAAAGGTCTTCCTTTTCCCATTGGTTCACCCTCCAATGGCCGCCGCGGCCAGCGGGGTGTGGCCGGCGCACCACACTGATCTGATGGCAGGAGCCAGGTACTTATCCTGGTCTCCCATGGGGTGCAGGGCCCAAGTACTTGGGCCATCCTCCACTCCCTGGCCACAGCAGAGAGCTGGTCTGGAAGAGGGGCAACCGGGACAGAATCCACCGCCCCGATTGGGACAAGAACCCAGTGTGCTGGTGCCGCAAGGTGGAGGATTAACCTAGTGAGCCTCAGCACCGGCCTGTCTTTAGTTCTTAAAGGTTAAGGGTGTGTCAAAAGTGATGTCCCATGCACACCATGAGTTCTCCCACACACCCTCGGTTTTTTTTTTTTTTCACAGTCCCATTTCATAAGCACCACACATTCTCTAGGTCTTAACCTCCTGTTATATCTCTCCACCAGAGTCAGGCTTTTTTGCTTGGTTAAGGGTGGGCACAGCCCTGAGCTGGCACAGCTGTTACATTATGTCCAAAATGGAGCCTGCTGTATTTCCCCCCCACCTTTGTAAGGTGAGTAGAGAGATAGGTGTCATTGTTTTTCTCTCTGATGGGCTAATTTTCCTCCCTGACTCTTCCTTTTTAGGTAGTTCCATACAGCTGCATGAATTATTTTTCCTTCACAAACTGGTTTGTTTTGTCCTCTGACAAGGCTGACTCATTCAAGGCAGAAAAAACTTGAGGAAATCAAAGAAAAAATATCTGGTACTTGATTCCCATTATTTACAATTTTTAAAAATATTTATTTATCTGAAAGACAATGAGAGAAAAAGAAAGAGAGAAAGAAGTCTTTTATCCACCAATTCACTCCTCAGATGACCTCAGTGGCCTGGGCTAGACCAATCTGAAGCCAGGAGCCAAGAGCTTCATGTGGATCTCCTACATGAATGGTAGATACCCAAACACCTCCGAGATCCAAACACCTGGGCCATCTGCTTCTTTTCTCGAGCATATTGGCAAGTAGCTGGGTTGGAAGTTGAGCAGCTGAACAACAGTGAACACAACATGTCATGATACAACACCAGCCCCTTTTTATAATTTTAATAATGAAGATGTCAGCATTACTGTTACATATATGCTGAATATGGGAAAATAAATTTTATCTGTCTATGACAAAGTATGTGTATATATGTATATTTAATTCATGTGTGTGTGTGTGTGTGTGTTAAAATCACATTTATTTTTTTTTTTTTGATGGTCAGTGAAAGGCCAATAGAAATTTTGGAATAAACTTAGGTAACACAAGGTAAAAATCAGGAAACTCTTTACAGGATGCAACTACAGGTGTAATTTAAAAATAACGAAAACATCACTTTTTAAAACTCCAACTCTCATAATAGAAGGCATCACACAAGCTCTACATGTATCTGGATTTGGAAATGCAGGTTGAAGTAGAGATTTGGAAGAGATGAATTATTCTGTATAATGAAAAATAACATTGTGGAGGCTCAGGAGAAAATAATCAGTAAGGCAGCCAAACACAAGCAGAAAGGGGAGATTTGTGATGCATTGGATACAGCTCAGTTTGAAAGAGACTTTGGTAGATATAAATTACTAAGTTTAAATGATAAAAATATAAATATCAAATCAATGCATTAATTTCCACCATTGTGTTAGCACATCTTTCCCATTTTGTTATCCTTACAGTAAGTAGCTCCATTAGGGCCACATTGCCCATTTTTGTTTTTTATGAAAGTGGATTGGTTTGGGCAAAGTTGAAATGGGAAGCTGAATTCTATGGGTTGATACAATGCATATGCAAGTTATATGGAGAAGCTGATGTTGAGCACAGAGGAAATCCTGAAAGGGAAAAGTCCTGACACTTCTCAAAAATCTCTGGGGAATCTGAATTCCAAGGGTTGTGGAGTAGCTGGCAGTAATGCTGAGAGCTCCAAGAAGTAAAACTGGAGCCAATTTGTATGTGGATAATGAAAAGTTATACCAAACTGTATAAATGACATGCCTTATGTTTGGAGTCAGTAAAGAGAAAATCCAGGAGAGGAGTGGAGGAATCTAGTGTTCCAGGATGGGCTGTTCCCACTCTGGACAGTGGAGGGGAGCCAGAGATCAAGTTTCCAATTTGCGTCCCTTCCCCCAACACTGAGGGCCATTTCTGGTTGCCCCTTGTTTCTGTGAGGCAGGGCTGGTCCTCTAGGCTAGAGCTCAGGCTCAGTGCCCTGCACTCAGTTGTGTCTGCAGCAGCCATGGGTTGCTGTAGATGGATATAGAGCTCAACCTCCTAAACAGGCAAGGGTCCTATGTATGAACTGAAGTTCAAGTTCCTGGGTCAATTTATCTACTATATTCTTCTTTTCTGCTGTGCGGCTCTTTATTTTCCTGTACTCTCTCCAAATGAATCCAGTGGTGGAAAGAAAGAGATAGAAATAAGAAAAGGGAACCCTAGCACCATCTCCACCCCCACCCTGGTGTAGATGGATTTTTCTATTCCACTTCCTACTTTACTAACTAAATTGTGTTTACACAAGTAGACATCTCTAATGAGCCCTGTCAGGCAAGGGTATAACTTTTTTTTAAAGATTTCTTTATTTATTTGAAAGTTGGAGTTACAAAGATAGAGAGGCAGAGGCAGAGAGAGAGAGAGAGAGAGAGAGAGAGAGAAGTCTTCCATCTGCTGGTTCACTCCCCAAATGGCTGTGCTGGCTGGAGCTGGGTCATTCCAAAGCTAGAAGCCAGGAGCTTCTTCCAGGCCTCCCATGTGGGTGCAGGGACCCAAGCACTTTGGCCATCTTCCACTGATTTCCCAGGCCATAAGCAGGGAGATGTATTGGAAGTAGAGAAGCTGGGTCTTGAACCGGAATGCATATGGAATATGGGCTCTGCAGGTGGAGCTTAACCTTCTATGCCACAGCACTAGCTCCTAGAATGTTTTCCTTCTAGGGAAACAACATGAGCAGGAGAGAGGTCTTCTATCCCAAACTCATACACTAATCTATCTAGAGATGGTAGAGGCCTGCAGTGTAAACTCCCTCTTACTGTGTTTCTTTGACTGTGAGGACTGGGTTACTGGGTATAGGTCTAGAGGAATAGAGTCACGAAGTAATAGCTCTTCATTTCCTTTTCCTTGTCCCATGTCCCTCAGCCACTTCTCTGCTATAAAAGCTGACTCTCAGAGCCAGCTGTAGACTCTGAAAGTCTCTGATTCTTGTTATACATTGCTGCAGCCTCGGAAGCAGAATCCTCCTGAGACAGCATACGCTTGAGAGTGTATCAGCTAGAACATCTTTGGAAGGTCACTATCAGAAAGCCCTTCTTTTTGAATTTTTCAGAGAAGAAATGGTATAAAATGTTGCTTTACCCTCTAAAAAAGAATAATAGGAAGTAATACATGTCCCATAAATGTAAGGTAGAAAGTCATATCAGGCATGAATGAGGGTCTGTGGTTTGTCTAAAGGGAGGAGAGTGAGAACTGGCTTGGAGATCTTCACTCCTCTAGGGCTGGGCCATAGTCAAGGGAAGAATGTACTTGTATGGCCTTATCTTCCATCACAAAGTCCTTCTCTCGCCAGACTGGGCCCATCTGTGGATCCCCACTGTATCATTTGTCTTTTGGGGGAGCAGAAAAACCCCAGCCCCCGTACCTACTAGAGTAATGAGAACAAGCCAGAGTAATTATACAAGGAAACCATTCACTGCCTGAGAACACAAATCAGAGATATGTTGACAGCTCATGACCTTGGAAGTTCTCAAAGTCAAAGTGAGTTACTGATTAGTCTGGGGGTGGGGGACACACCTACACCACAGAAAGCACCAAGATTGCACGGCCTAGGGGAACAACAGCCAAAAGATCATCATGGTGGATAATTAAAACTCCAGTCAGAAGGAAAAGTATGGGCTTATGGCTGCAACTCTGAAGGGCCACTGACTTAGCTGGTCTTCTATGAATGCAGAGCCCAAAGCCCAGAATGTGTGAACAGAGCATAGGACCTCTTCCTGAGGGAACTACATTACTTGGAAATCAGAGGGAGCAAACTGGTGTAGCAGGAAACCAGGAATCCTAAGGTTAAGGCCTCATAGTGGGGTCAGTACACAAATTCAGATCCAGATGTGGAAAAAGAGGGCCTCAAAATATTCTGTTCAGAAATCCCAGTCCTGAAGAGGATGCAGGTTTGAAGATCTCCCTTACCAGAAAAGATGAGTGGCCCTGCCCAGGACTATGTGACAATAGACAGTGTTGACCAGTACACTATGTTGCTGAGACAAAAGCACAGGCTAACCAGAAAAGTAAACTATGGGCAAAGGGTGAGTCATTTGTTACAGCGAGTTTTTATAAGGAAAAACAGGAGAAGTCAGCAAAACTGACTTTTGGGGAAAAGTGTCAGTCTCCTAAGAAGTTTTTCTGAAGAAGCCTCCTTTCCTGCCTCCTAGGGAGTCCATGTCTCCATCAGGCCCCTCCAGACGGTGCTAAGGTTTCTGAGTCCTACAGGCCACCATTGGCACTGCATCTGCTCTGTATCACAGCATGTGTCTCCTCCATTCAGCCAAAAAGTCCTCCTTTATCCATTTACATGGTTTTGTTTTCCCTACCTGTAAAAACAATATTTGTTTTCTTGGATTTGTTGTTGTTTCAAAAATGAGAAATGTATCATTTGTCTTTGGGGACATTTGGAGCTGAGGTTTAGGACATTCCTGTAGACTGGGTTTGGAGAGAACAACGAATAAACTTTACTTCATATTGAGTGCCCGTTTGAATTTCTAAATTACCTACTTTTGTGAGGATAGTTCTTGTTTCATTTTTTATTATTCTTTTTAACTTTTATTTAATGAATATAAATTTCCAAAGTACAGCTTATGGATTACAATGTCTTCCCCCCGATAACTTCCCTCCCACCTGCAACCATCCCCTTTCCTGCTTCCTCTCCCCTTCCATTCACATCACGATTCATTTTCAATTCTCTTTATATACAGAAGATCAGTTTAGCATATATTAAGTAAAGATTTCAACAGTTTGCACCTACATTGAAACACAAAGTGAAAAATACTGTTTGAGTACTAGTTATAGCATTAAATCACAATGTACAGCACATTAAGGGCAGAGATCCCACATGAGGAGTAAGTACTCCTGTTGTTGACTTAACAAATTGACACTCCTGTTTATGGCATCAGTAATCTCCCTATGCTCCAGTCATGAGGTTCAAAGGCTATGGAAGCCTTTTGAGTTCGCCAACTCCAATTATGTAGACAAGGCCATAGACAAAGTGGAAGTTCTCTCCTCCCTTCAGAGAAAGGTACCTCCTTCCTTGATGGTCCATTCTTTCCACTGGGATCTCACTCACAGAGATCTTTCATTTAGGTGTTTTTTATTTTTTATTTTTTTTATTTATTATTATTTTTTTTTTTGGCAGAGCGTCTTGGCTTTCCATGCCTGAAATACTCTCATGGGCTTTTCAGCTGGATCCGCATGCCTTAAGGGCTGATTCTGAAGCCAGAGTGCTGTTTAGGACATCTGCCATTCTATGGGTCTGCTGTGTATCTCACTTCCCATGTTGGATCATTCTCTCCATTTTTTATTCTATTGGTTAGTATTTGCAGACACTAGTCTTGTTTATGTAATCCCTTTGGTTCTTAGTCCTATCATTATGATCAATTGTGAACAGAAATTGATCACTAGGACTAGTGAGATGGCATTGGTACATGCCACCTTGATGGGAATGAATTGGAGTTCCCTGGTATTTTTCTAACTCTACCGTTTGGGGCAAGTCAGCTTGAGCATGTCCCAAATTGTACATCTCTTCCCTCTCTTATTTCCATTCTTATATTTAACAGGGTTCACTTTTCAGTTAAGTTTCAACACTTAAGAATAACTGTGTAATAGTTACAGAATTCAACCAATAGTATTAAGCAGAGCAAACAAAAAAATACTAAGAGGGATAAAGTATTATGTTGTTCATCAACAGTCAGGGCAATGGCTGATCAAGTCACTATTTCTCATAGTGTTCATTTCACTTTATCAGGTTTCCGTTTTGGTGCTCAGTTAGTTGTCACCGATCAGGGAGAACATATGATATTTGTCCCTTTGGGACAAACTTCCCTTTGGGAGGTTTCCATCTTTTTCAATTGTTCTGAATAGTTTGAGAGGAATTGGAGTTA